TGATAGTTCTCTCTTGAACACTGTGAGGGGTCGGCCAGTTATGTCCCTTATGTGTAGTGGAAGCGTGTTGAACAGTGTCGGGCCTCTGATGTTGATAGTTCTCTCTTGAACACTGTGAGGGGTCGGCCAGTTATGTCCCTTATGTGTAGTGGAAGCGTGTTGAACAGTGTCGGGCCTCTGATGTTGATAGTTCTCTCTTGAACACTATGAGGGGTCGGCCAGTTATGTCCCTTATGTGTAGTGGAAGCGTGTTGAACAGTCTCGGGCCTCTGATGTTGATAGTTCTCTCTTGAACACTGTGAGGGGTCGGCCAGTTATGCCCCTTATGTGTAGTGGAAGCGTGTTGAACAGTCTCGGGCCTCTGATGTTGATAGTTCTCTCTTGAACACTGTGAGGGGTCGGCCAGTTATGTCCCTTATGTGTAGTGGAAGCGTGTTGAACAGTTTCGGGCCTCTGATGTTGATAGTTCTCTCTTGAACACTGTGAGGGGTCGGCCAGTTATGCCCCTTATGTGTAGTGGAAGCGTGTTGAACAGTTTCGGGCCTCTGATGTTGATAGTTCTCTCTTGAACACTGTGAGGGGTCGGCCAGTTATGTCCCTTATGTGTAGTGGAAGCGTGTTGAACAGTCTCGGGCCTCTGATGTTGATAGTTCTCTCTTGAACACTGTGAGGGGTCGGCCAGTTATGTCCCTTATGTGTAGTGGAAGCGTGTTGAACAGTCTCGGGCCTCTGATGTTGATAGTTCTCTCTTGAACACTGTGAGGGGTCGGCCAGTTATGTCCCTTATGTGTAGTGGAAGCGTGTTGAACAGTCTCGGGCCTCTGATGTTGATAGTTCTCTCTTGAACACTGTGAGGGGTCGGCCAGTTATGTCCCTTATGTGTAGTGGAAGTGTGTTGAACAGTCTCGGGCCTCTGATGTTGATAGTTCTCTCTTGAACACTGTGAGGGGTCGGCCAGTTATGTCCCTTATGTGTAGTGGAAGCGTGTTGAACAGTCTCGGGCCTCTGATGTTGATAGTTCTCTCTTGAACACTGTGAGGGGTCGGCCAGTTATGTCCCTTATGTGTAGTGGAAGCGTGTTGAACAGTCTCGGGCCTCTGATGTTGATAGTTCTCTCTTGAACACTGTGAGGGGTCGGCCAGTTATGTCCCTTATGTGTAGTGGAAGTGTGTTGAACAGTCTCGGGCCTCTGATGTTGATAGTTCTCTCTTGAACACTGTGAGGGGTCGGCCAGTTATGTCCCTTATGTGTAGTGGAAGCGTGTTGAACAGTCTCGGGCCTCTGATGTTGATAGTTCTCTCTTGAACACTGTGAGGGGTCGGCCAGTTATGTCCCTTATGTGTAGTGGAAGCGTGTTGAACAGTCTCGGGCCTCTGATGTTGATAGTTCTCTCTTGAACACTGTGAGGGGTCGGCCAGTTATGTCCCTTATGTGTAGTGGAAGTGTGTTGAACAGTCTCGGGCCTCTGATGTTGATAGTTCTCTCTTGAACACTGTGAGGGGTCGGCCAGTTATGTCCCTTATGTGTAGTGGAAGCGTGTTGAACAGTCTCGGGCCTCTGATGTTGATAGTTCTCTCTTGAACACTGTGAGGGGTCGGCCAGTTATGTCCCTTATGTGTAGTGGAAGCGTGTTGAACAGTCTCGGGCCTCTGATGTTGATAGTTCGTCTCTTGAACACTGTGAGGGGTCGGCCAGTTATGCCCCTTATGTGTAGTGGAAGCGTGTTGAACAGTCTCGGGCCTCTGATGTTGATAGTTCTCTCTTGAACACTGTGAGGGGTCGGCCAGTTATGTCCCTTATGTGTAGTGGAAGCGTGTTGAACAGTCTCGGGCCTCTGATGTTGATAGTTCTCTCTTGAACACTGTGAGGGGTCGGCCAGTTATGTCCCTTATGTGTAGTGGAAGCGTGTTGAACAGTCTCGGGCCTCTGATGTTGATAGTTCTCTCTCAGAGTACCTGATGCACCTCTGCTCATCAACGGGGGTATTCTGCACATCCTGCCATGCCTTCTGGTCTCATGTGATGTTGTTTCTGTGTGCAGGTTTGGGACCAGACCCTTTATGAGGCATAATAATTAAAATACTGTAATATGGCCAGTTACCCTCCACCTCAATGTATCTTGAGAGGATTTCGGGGCTTTATTGTCCCCGCGGCCCGGTCCTCGACCAGGCCTCCACCCCCCTCCCACGGAAGCAGCCCTTGACAGCTGACTAACTCCCAGGTACCTTTTTACTGCTAGGTAACAGAGGTATCAGGGTGAAAGAAACTCTGCCCATTGTTTCACGCCGGCGCCCGGGATCGAACCCTGATGTTGATAGTTCGTCTCTTGAACACTGTGAGGGGTCGGCCAGTTATGTCCCTTATGTGTAGTGGAAGCGTGTTGAACAGCCTCGGGCCTCTGATGTTGATAGTTCTCTCTTGAACACTGTGAGGGGTCGGCCAGTTATGTCCCTTATGTGTAGTGGAAGCGTGTTGAACAGTCTCGGGCCTCTGATGTTGATAGTTCTCTCTTGAACACTGTGAGGGGTCGGCCAGTTATGTCCCTTATGTGTAGTGGAAGCGTGTTGAACAGTCTCGGGCCTCTGATGTTGATAGTTCTCTCTTGAACACTGTGAGGGGTCGGCCAGTTATGTCCCTTATGTGTAGTGGAAGCGTGTTGAACAGTCTCGGGCCTCTGATGTTGATAGTTCTCTCTTGAACACTGTGAGGGGTCGGCCAGTTATGTCCCTTATGTGTAGTGGAAGCGTGTTGAACAGTCTCGGGCCTCTGATGTTGATAGTTCTCTCTTGAACACTGTGAGGGGTCGGCCAGTTATGTCCCTTATGTGTAGTGGAAGCGTGTTGAACAGTCTCGGGCCTCTGATGTTGATAGTTCTCTCTTGAACACTGTGAGGGGTCGGCCAGTTATGTCCCTTATGTGTAGTGGAAGCGTGTTGAACAGTCTCGGGCCTCTGATGTTGATAGTTCTCTCTTGAACACTGTGAGGGGTCGGCCAGTTATGTCCCTTATGTGTAGTGGAAGCGTGTTGAACAGTCTCGGGCCTCTGATGTTGATAGTTCTCTCTTGAACACTGTGAGGGGTCGGCCAGTTATGTCCCTTATGTGTAGTGGAAGCGTGTTGAACAGTCTCGGGCCTCTGATGTTGATAGTTCTCTCTTGAACACTGTGAGGGGTCGGCCAGTTATGTCCCTTATGTGTAGTGGAAGCGTGTTGAACAGTCTCGGGCCTCTGATGTTGATAGTTCTCTCTTGAACACTGTGAGGGGTCGGCCAGTTATGTCCCTTATGTGTAGTGGAAGCGTGTTGAACAGTCTCGGGCCTCTGATGTTGATAGTTCTCTCTTGAACACTGTGAGGGGTCGGCCAGTTATGTCCCTTATGTGTAGTGGAAGCGTGTTGAACAGTCTCGGGCCTCTGATGTTGATAGTTCTCTCTTGAACACTGTGAGGGGTCGGCCAGTTATGTCCCTTATGTGTAGTGGAAGCGTGTTGAACAGTCTCGGGCCTCTGATGTTGATAGTTCTCTCTTGAACACTGTGAGGGGTCGGCCAGTTATGCCCCTTATGTGTAGTGGAAGCGTGTTGAACAGTCTCGGGCCTCTGATGTTGATAGTTCTCTCTCAGAGTACCTGTTGCACCTCTGCTCATCAACGGGGGTATTCTGCACATCCTGCCATGCCTTCTGGTCTCATGTGCGCTCAGCCACCGGCTCCTGAGGAATTAGGAGCCACCGTGTAGGCTGAGGAATTAAAATACTGCATAAAATAAATGATCTTAGAAGTCAAGGAATGAATAAAAAATCCATAGCGAATGTTCAACACCTATAATTATTATAGAGAAGGGAAGGAAACTATCAGGGGAAAAGCGCCAAGCCAATACGACTATATAGCACTTGGAAAGGGTCAGGATAAGGGTTTGGGATGGGACGGGGGGAAGGAATGGTGCCCAGCCATTTGTGGACGGTCGGGAATTGAACCCCGACCTGCATAAGAACATAAGAACAAAGGTAACTGCAGAAGGCCTATTGGCCCATACGAGGCAGCTCCTATCTATAACCACCCAATCCCACTCATATACTTGTCCAAATTGTCCAAATGATCTGCGTGAAGCGAGATCGTCGCTCTACCGTCCACCCTAAGTGGTTGGGCACCATTCCTTCAAATTAATTACACAAAAATTATATGTAAAAATTAATTACATTTGTTATATACATACAAGAGTTGTTACATTCTTGTACAGCCATCAGCACGCGTAGCGTAGCGGGCAGGGGCCAGATTCACGAAAGCACTTACGAACCTGTCCATCTTTTCTCAATCTTTGGCGGCTCTGTTTCCAATTATTAAACAGTTAATGAGCTCCGAGGCACCAGGAGGCTGTTTATAACAATAACAACAGTTGATTGGCAAGTTTTCATGCTTGTAAACAATTTAATAAATGTAACCAAAGCCGTCAAAGATTGAGGAAAGATGTACACGTTCGTAAGTGGTTGCGTAAGTGCTTTCGTGAATCTGGCCCCAGGTCCTTAACCCAATATTTTCCCTGGAATACGACCCGCCAAATCGTGTACCAACCATTTTGTATCAATTAGTTTGTATGTAATAATATTGACTATTATGAACAAATGATCCAGTATTTCACAGTATGCAGCAATCAAACTTTACTTATAATGATCGTATATGTGTTCGTTATTTCATTGGGTGCATGGTGTGGACTGGACTGTGATCCTGTGGTCCCTGGTTCGATCCCGGGCGCCGGCGAGAAACAATGGGCAGAGTTTCTTTCATCCTATGCCCCTGTTACCTAGCAGTAAAATAGGTACCTGGGTGTCAGTCAGCTGTCACGGGCTGCTTCCTGGGGGTGGAGGCCTGGTCGAGAACCGGGCCGCGGGGACACTAAAAAGCCCCGAAATCATCTCAAGATAACCTCATCATCTCAAGATAGCCATGTTTTAATTAATTTTCTTTTCAGTCTTTTATACAAGCAAATGTTAATTCACCATTTTTACAG